GGCATTTGAGGGAATGTAAGTTTATTTGCATTGTATGATTGTGAACGTCAATGTGAATATTATTACATCGTCTGGGTCGTCTTCATTATCACTATTAATTTATCGTTTAGTTTAATTTGCGGTTGAATTCTAATTGCCACAACAGTTAAATTAATGAAATAAACAGTATTTATAATATATTTGAATCATTAAGCGCAAAAAATGACAAAACAACATGTTATTGAGTGACATTCTCCTTTCACTTCTCTGGATCACTATGGCATTTTCGTCTTGCTTCTACTATTCACGTACGGGACCTGGCATCAAGTCATGGCTCCATGCTATTTTTAATGATTTTGTGCATGAATGCACCAAACATGAAAACCACCATTTTGTTTGGTCGAATATGTTATGATCCGTAGGCGTGAACTTCATATGTTTTTCGTACGTAGGAGTATGTCAAATAACGCCTGAATCCCATGCACATTGTATTGCAACGTCCCCTGGATCAGTAATCGTATGTAATTAAGGTTAAATCAGATATTGTGGGCGTACTAGCAAACTGCTAGTTTTTGATGCCGCCAGCCAGAATGGCAATCTCTTGTCACTTATTGGATTCCTACCAATCGAATATATTCCTTTGTGTTCGAACATGCTTTTGTTGGACCGAACATAACGTTTCAGTTTTGAATCTATGCATTGCAGCTGCTAAAATAGCATGGAGCCTTGGTCCCATTCCACTGTCCCTTGCGCTAATGGAAGCAAGGAGAGAGCGCGGATACGCCGTGAAATCCGGATAAGTGATGGGAGATCGTTATTCTTTCCGGCTGTACTTAAAACTAGCAGTTTGCTAGTAAACCCCTAATATCAGGCTTAATTTTTTTTATCGAGCTGATATGTGCGACTGTAAGTGAAGCATGGTCAACTGAAGTTAGGGCAAAACACGCTGTCAAGACGAGTAAGTATGACTTTGGAAAATATAGCAACACAGTTGCCTTCCTTTGAAACGCTCGACAACGATGTTCAGCTCATTTGCTTTGGGTATATTGCTGCAACAATCTGGGTTAAGAGGGAATTCTTGTTCTCTATCCTCCTCCTATTCTGTTTTTTCTTCCTCATTTTTCTTTTCTTCCAATTCTTCGCCAACATCTTCCTCTTCGTGTTATTCGTAGATACTTCTATTTCGTTCTTGTTTCTCCGCCTCTTCTGTTTTTTCACTTTTATTTCTGTCGTCCTTGCTCTTTTTTCCGCTCTGTCGTGTTCTATTCTTGCTCGTTCTTCCTCTTTGCTCATGGGGTACTTGTTCTTTTATTTTCTCTGTGCGCCACTCATCTACATTATGATGAGCTGCGAGCTCGTCGATCCAAACTGGCTGTTACCAGACTACAGACATTCATCGCTTCTACCTGTTATGCGATGCTTGGTGAACAGTGTAACAGAAATACCACGAGCCATATATGAAATGAACCAGCGACGTTTAAAAATTGTACCTGAATTCGTTGAGCAGTTATGACAGCAAAGCTTCCCGTTCTGATCGTTTGTGTTGTTTTCAGCGAAATACAGGGTTTATCATTATGCGTGACGTTGATTGCTTGGGGAGGTGATTTAATGCACTTTAAAACGGATTGAACGAGACTGCAGATTGTATATATAATAATGACAGGATGAAACCATGAAACCACGGTCACCAGCTATCTGTCTGTGACAGTAGAAATTGCTAAAAATGTTTTTTTGTGTACTCAGGCAGCACGCTCACTGTTTGCGACTCAATATATTAGTGGTGAAGAGAAGATATGTGATACCTTGGAGAATCTCGATGTATCTCGTTCAGCAGAGCTACCTCTCATTAGAGCTGGCGCATGGAGCAACCAGTTTTAATACCCAGAAATGGTGACTGTTACTAAAATTCAGTCTCACAGGCAGAAAGTAATCGGCTTTGCGACAGTTCGCCAGCACTATTTAGAACGATTGTATTGAATGCTGATTAGATGAATCAGTTAGAGTGCTATACCACGGCAATGTAGTATCTAAATAATGTGCCCGAGTATGATTCTGCCGTCTACCAGTGAATAGATGATAATAACCTATGAGAATAGTGTTGTTAGACAGCTTCCAGGGAAGACAATTTCTGACAAATCTCAAGACACCATTGTAGATGGTTTATTCAGTCAGTAAATGCCCAATGGAGTTCACTGTCGATTTTTTGTTTACTTATTGTTTTTGTTGGCTGTAAGCATGCAAATTCTCTTTTACGATATGTAGATTAATTTCTATTTTTTCTAAAAATTTTCTTGTGCTGAAAAGCGGAATGTTTTGCGATCTCATTCAAGGAGCAAACTTTCATCCTTTCATTCACAGAAATTTGAAGACGATTGATAAATTAGTAGAGTTTTAGCGTCATCTGTAATAGTTTTGTTTCCTTGTGTTCGACACGGGTGATTTATTGGATTCGTTAAGAACATTTTTTATGTCCTCATGACACGAAGATTGTTATCTTATCTAAATGAGGTAAAAGGTTCTTCTGTTTATCCAGCAATAATCAGGTCACTTATCTTCACACTGATCTTTAAAAGGTTGTGAACAGTACTTTTTAAAGTTTTGAAAGTTATTTTAGATTTTTGTTTTTTTTTATAGTGAGGGTTCAAGAAAAGACTCTTAAAAAGGAATATGAAAAGTCAGAAAATGATTTCAAGGCCTTGCAGAGCGTCGGGCAAATCGTCGGCGAGGTGCTAAAGCAGCTTTCAGAGGAGAAATGTAGTTTTGCTTTTCTCGAACGTATTTTTTCGCGTAATGACCAATGCTAGTTTAGATATCGTGAAAGCGACCAATGGTCCTCGGTACGTTGTCGGTTGCCGAAGAACCATTGACAAGGCGAAGCTTGTTCAGGGCACCCGTGTGGCCCTAGATATGACCACTCTGACGATTATGCGTCATCTACCGCGCGAAGTCGACCCGTTGGTGTACAACATGTCTCACGAGGACCCTGGCGATGTCACCTATTCGAGCGTTGGTGGTCTGGCTGACCAGATCAGGGAGTTACGAGAGGTAAACGCACCCGGAGAATATTTTTCGGTTTATTTCCCTTGATTACAGATTTGTTTCAGGTTGTGGAGTTACCTCTCATAAACCCGGGTCTGTTTCGACGTGTTGGAGTTACACCGCCGAAGGGTTGTTTGCTTTACGGGCCACCGGGCACCGGCAAAACGCTTCTTGCTCGAGCAGTGGCCAGTCAGTTGGACTGCAATTTCCTGAAGGTAAATTTCTTTGACAGTAGACACGGAACATTATGGTGTCCGCCTTCTTTGTTTTTTTGGTGGTGTCCAGCGCCATCGTTGATAAGTACATAGGTGAAAGCGCTCGCATGATCCGTGAGATGTTCAACTATGCAAGAGACCATCAGCCATGCATCATTTTCATGGACGAGATCGACGCTATCGGTGGTCGGCGTTTCTCCGAGGGCACATCAGCCGATAGGGAAATCCAACGAACCTTGATGGAGGTGCAACTGGTTTATTTATTCTGACGGTATTTGACTATACTGTTCGTCTTAGCTGTTGAATCAGATGGATGGTTTCGACGCTCTAGGACAGGTGAAAATTATCATGGCCACCAACAGACCTGATACTTTGGATCCTGCGTTGTTACGGCCCGGTCGTTTGGATAGAAAAATTGGTAAGTTTCTAATATCTAATATATCTAATATTTTCTTCTAAACTACTTTGAAATAGTGTTTATTTAATGTCGTCTGCTGTCGTCTGCAGTGATTGCCCCAGTGTTTATTTGTGTTTTTATCTATGTCGGTTCTTGTCTCCCATTGTAGGATGGGATGTTCCCGCACCTTGAACGGTATAATGAAATGCTCGTTTTTTGCCATCATCCCATAGAATGTAAAAGTTTAATCTTTGAAATGTCAGACATGCTAAAGCCATTCTTGTGGTTGCGGT